ATGGTGTGTGAAAAGGCACAGAGACACTGTGGGCAGGACAGTAGAGAACAGGCAAAGGGAGATGAATTGGCAAATCCTAGAGGGAAGGGGTCAGCTACAGAGGAGCAGTAATGATATGCATTACTATTCATTATAACGTACAAAGAGCTTTTCACCCGTGGATCTCAAAGCACTTTACACAGGTGGGAAAACAGCTATCCACATGCTAGATGGGGAAACTGAGGCAAGTGGCTGGCAGAGTTGGGACTGGAACTTAGGCTGGAAGTGCTGTGCAGGGTGTTATAGGATAGATAATCCGATACGAAAAGTGGTAGAAGGACTAGGTTACAAATGGAAAGGCAAGCCATATGCAAGGAAGGAGCCTGCTAGACCTACGAGGGGGAGTTTTGTCCCCCTTAGAAGTCTGAGACATCATCCCCCCCATTAGTATCTCAGTGGCTGGCTCGCTTAAGCAATTTCTTAATCATCTGTATAGGAGACTTCTCAATCACATCCTCTTTTGGACCTCTAGTATTAGAGATCTTGGACCTCTAATATTGATCTCACTAGTGTTTGGTTAGCAACTACCTCCTAACTCCTATTCCATTCAAGTTGCTAGAAAAAGAACAGCCTCTTCCCACAAATCCAGCACAGCCTTGATTACCCAAACCTCGGTACCCTAACCCCACATTATCCAAATACAAGTTACATCCTGGGACATCTATGCATTGCCCTGAAAATACCCTTCATTATGGGAAATGTTGCTGATGTGACCATGTTCAGTGTTCCTCTCGCAGTGTTCAGTGAAAGCAGCAGTTCTCAAACTTTTTGGGCTCCGGAGGCCTTTACATGCATAAAAATGTATGCGGAGCCCCAGCGGTCCACTGATCGTACGTGTTGTACCTATCGATGTTTCCAGTCTGTCAACCTCGCGGAGCCCCTGGAGATGTCTCGCGGAGCCCCGGGGCTCCACGGAGCACAGTTTAAGAAACACTGAGTTAAAATTATATTGCATATCAGAAATGCAAAATTAAGTCCACAGTACCATTGCGATGTCTCAATACAGGTGCCAAAGCTCAAACGTTTTGAAGTCAACTAAAAACGATTTCTAATATGATGACAGTTTCATTACTTATTTTACAAGAAGCCTACAGAACCCTGGGAGCTTCCTGGAAAAGAACTTTCCATCCGATTTTTATCAATGAGACAACAGATGGTCTTGCGATTGAAGAAACAGTGCAATGAGTCAAAAGGTATGGATTCTATTACTTGCTCAATGAGTGTGGGCAGGTGAGTTGCTGTACCTTTGCCCATGACTCATTTTCCATTTCAGTAGAGTGGCGCTGGGAGACTAAAATGCCAAGATATTCAGTGTTAAGGCACTAGAAGGGCAAAGTGCTAATTATAAAGCTTAATTTGGTACAGTATAAAACTGCATCATGTTTTAGTGGGGAAACTATATCTAATGCAGTCCAGCACGCACAGATCTTTCCAGTAATATCGCTGAGACAGTCTCTGTGCTGTGGATGCTGGGAAGGAGTAGTCCAGGTTGAACCTAAGGACCTGACCAGTGATGAACCACAGGAGGTCACGATAGTCTAGCAGCATTACCAACACTCCCACTGCTTACTGGGCTCTTAGACATTTAGGGGGTAAACAGCACAGAACAGCCAGGACTGGGGGCTGCAAACAAACTTTATGGGACGGTAGGAAACTTGGCCACATCCATAAGTGGACATCTAGCCAACTAAATCATGCTGGACCAGAGGGTGCTGGATTAGAGAGATTCACCCTGTAGTTGATGTACAGAAGAGGAGCTGATACATGCAGTGTACAGCAGGGTTTTGAATTACCCAGCTGGCTAGCTCCTTGCTCTTTATGGCTGAAGCTTATGGGATAACCTACTTAACACCACACTTCTCTGCTGAAGTCATCTGGAGTTTTCTTACTGACTTCTCACCCAGATTTACAGAAAAGCTCAGGTTCCATTTACACACTTAAGTGCCCAGATATATAGAAGAGTTCAGCACACTGGGTGCCAAGTATTTGAAAATTGGTCTTTAAATTAGCAAAGCATTTGGAGGCGGGGGGGTTGGCATGGGAGCATAGCTTTAACATGTGCAATCGGAAATTATCCCTGCGTTTGGGCAGTGCTTGGCACTGCGGGCTGGGACTTCCCACCACTGCAATACAAGTAATCTTACCACCAACACCTCACTGCCCTTAGTACAATTAGGAGCAAGCTTAAGATGAACCATTTGAATAAACTTCTCAGTGTCAGACACAAATCTCCCTCTAGCCCCTCTCCAAACAAGCAGATCTTATCCCACCTCTGTTGGGTCTTATGTAGCATAAGGAAGATCTCACTTCTCAGTTTGACTGAATTCCTCCCACTACCACCACCCCTCCCCGATCAGTCATAGAAAAGGCAGCATCTTGCTCCAAGCCTAGATCTGTTTAGTTTTGTATTTACTCCAGGACTCCAGAGCCAGAGAGAACATTCTGGGACCAGGTTCCCCTCCTGCATCTGCTGGTCCATCTTTCTTGGAAATAAGGCTGTTTTATGTTGTTTGGCCCTACACATACCTAGTGTGTGTCTCTTCCCTTGCCATATGACGGTCTAGGGCAGTGTTTCTTAAACTGTGTTCTGTGGTACACCGGTGTGCCGCAAGGCAGTTGGAGGTGTGCCGTGGAGACCAACAGAGTTCAAAATGGCCATCCTGAAAGGGACAGGCAACTCCCCCCCCCCCACACACACTCAATAACTTTCCTCCTGACCCATTTTGTTTGTTTGTTTGTTTTCTCAACAAAAAGTCCTTGATGTTCCTCAGAAAAAAAATTATTGTTTGGTGTTCCTCTGTCTTAAAAAGTTTAAGAAACACTGGTCTAGTGGCACCAAGAATGAGGAAGCATCAACTTCCAGGCCACAGGAGTAGAAACACCAGGGGCAATAACATAAGCAGAATGCTCCCAAATGGTCCTGTATTCTGCAGTATGAAAAACAACCAGTTCATATGCACACACTGACTGTGGGTTGTTTGCACTGCAGTCAGAGGTATGATTGCAGCACAGACATGCACAATCTAGATTAAACCTAGCTTGGGTAAGTACTAACAGCAATGAAGTTGCAGCAACATGGACTTCAGCAAGAGCTAGCTACCTAAATAAGAATGCTGGTCTGGATTTTATAGGCCATGCTACTGCTACTTCACTGCCATTGGTGCTCACCGTATCTAGAATAAAGCTAGTGTCATGCCAACAGATGACATAGAACCTTGGACCACTACCACAGGAGCTAAAAAACACGGCTGGCTCTCAGCAAGTGCCATTAGGTGGGATAGTGCACCACACCCAGCAGCAGTGTGGGTTACACTAGCATGTGCTGCAAACATTTCCACAGGCAGTGTAGACTTACATAGGTCTCTTGCTGTTATTCACCACTAGTATTTATAGCTGGGATTTTCATAAGATCCCACCCTATTGCAGTAAAAACGTAGGGCCCTATTCTGCTGTCTTTATTCATGATGGCTACATCTAGACTGGCAGGATTTTCCGGAAATGCTTTTAATGGAAAAGTTTTCTGTTAAAAGCATTTGTGGAAAAGAGCGTCTAGATTGGCACGGATGCTTTTCCGCAAAAGCACTTTTTGTGGAAAAGCGTCCGTGGCCAATCTAGACGCGCTTTTGCGCAAAAAAGCTCCTATCGCCATTTTTGCGATCCGGGCTTTTTTGCGGAAAACAAATCTCAGCTGTCTACACTGGTCCTTTTGCGCAAAAGTTTTGAGCAAAAGAGGCTTTTGCCTGAATGGGAGCAGCATAGTATTTCCACAAAAAGCACTGATTTCTTACAGTAGGAAGTCAGTGCTTTTGCAGCAATTCAAACGGCTAGTGTAGACAGCTGGCAAGTTTTTCTGGAAAAGCAGCTGATTTTCCGGAAAAACTGGCCAGTCTAGACACAGCCTATGACTAATAGCTTATGTCTCTCTCATCTGGAAACCAATGGGATTTTTGTGGAATAAAGTGCTAATCACCATACTAGTAAGGGGCTCCAAATCTTGTCCCATTTTCAAAGGAGAGCAGAATGGTGTTGCCTGCACAAATGTAAAGTGCCTCTGCTAAGCTGTCTAAAAATACTCCCCCCCCCGCAGGTGTGCGTACAGCAAGTGACTGCGCCTGTAAGTGCCTGATTGTAAGTGCCGTTGCCCAGTGCACAGACAAATCAAGAGGTTTGAAGGCACCAGAAGAGTCTTGCTTTGCGGTATCAGACGGGATCCATAAGGGGGGCCACGCTCACTCAGCTATGCTGTCTGCGTGGGTAACCAGGGCCAAAAAGGGTGCAAGAAGACTCTCATATAGGCATAGGTTTTTAAAGTCCTTCATATTAAGAAAATGGCAGAAACTCAGTACTGAATAGCACATTCAGAATAAATCTCGTACAAAATACATGTGTAGGTACAGAACTGCAGATGGAAATTCTTCGATAAAGCGTTGCAAAGTGATGGTTCTATTATTACGCAACAGTCTATGGGTACTGAAGGATAATAAGCGTGAACCTTTGTGCAGTACTTTTTAATGCCAGAGAGCTATATGAACATATCCAGTTAGAAACTGAGCATGGCATGTGTTATATTTGACAACTCTTTAGGTTTCTGAAATAATTCATAAAAAAATAAGAGGAAAAAAAGCAACTGTAAATTTTGGCATGTGAAGACTTGCCTGTGAGGTTCTCATTAAGACAGCATTCCATATAAACATCTGTTCTCCTGCCCCCAGTGTTACCTTGCATTGCAGTGTCTCCAAAACACAGGAAAGAGCCCACCACATTCTAAGGAGAATTCTGCCCCCCACACTTCCCCACCGTACCTCTCTCAGTCTTCAGCAAAATTCTGCCAGAACTTGTGTGTATCAACACCACAGAACTTTGAGATGTGGTCTGATTTATTATGGGAATGGAGCCGGGGGGAGAGGGGTGAGCCTTGCATGAAAGATATGCCTTCTGGTTAGTGAATTAAATCTACTCACCTGCTTTTGCTTAGGGAACAGGCAGACGATGCTTTAGGGACTTCCCATTCCTCCAACTGTCAGTGTCTTCCAGCTGTGAACAGGTGACTGCTGCTCTCTCTCCTAATCTGCCTCTCCCTATTATTCTCCTGGGGAGCAGTTTGTTAGTCCCTTACCCAATCTTCTTGCTCTCTTGGTGGAAAATATGTAAGACTTTCTTCCGGCTCCACTTCCTCTCTGGGTCTTGTGCTCTGCTTTTCTGGCCATTAGAACGGCAGTGACTGATGTTTAAAACCTGTCTACATGCAGGGACTCGATTTACTTGGCAAGGGTTTTCGTCTCAGTTTTCTCCGTAAAGTGTCTGGTAGGAAAGAAAACTCAGGTTTCACTTGCTCAGACAGCTGCTGCCAATCTGATTATTTGTCCCAACAACAAAAAAATAGCCTTCTATTCCTACAGATTGTGCAATGAGCACTCACTCATTCATGTTTAGTCAGCTGGGTGAGCCTAGCATTACTAGATGGCTTAAAAAAAATACCGAACACACTTGATCTCAGATTGGGGCAGGGAGGACTGGCCGGGAGGAGGTGGGGGGTGTAGGGCTGGCTGGGGGAGAGCAGAGGGGAGGGAACCAGCCAGCGGGAAGCAGGGCTGGCCGAGAGGAGGGGGGGGAGAGAACTCAACTGCTCAAGATATAAGCTTCAGGAGGTAGCCAAGTTTAGTCAGTACAGGATAAACTTAAAAAACAAGTAGTCTATAAAGTTTGTGGATGGTATCGTGAGCTTTTGTGGGCAAAGCCCACTTCAGATGACCGGAGTTTTGAGTTTAGGATGTTTAGACCCAAAATAAATGGGGGAGAAGGAAGAGAGGGGACAGGAAACAAGGAGCAGAGGGTATGGAAACATCAAAGGGAAAAACAGGAAGGCAGAACTAGCAATCAGTAAGCACCTAAAGATTGGATAGTTAAAATGAAGCAGATAAGGATCAAAGTTCTGCCTTCCTGTTTTTCCCTTTGATGTTTCCATACCCTCTGCTCCTTGTTTCCTGTCCCCTCTCTTCCTTCTCCCCCATTTATTTTGGGTCTAAACATCCTAAACTCAAAACTCCGGTCATCTGAAGTGGGCTTTGCCCACAAAAGCTCACGATACCATCCACATGTTTTGTTAGTCTATAAAGTGCTACCAGACCATTTGTTGGTTTTTAATTTTATCCTGCTTGAGAATTAAATCCAAAGCAGACTGAAGAACCACAAAATTAGATGACTGGGCAATAAAATGGCAGATGAATTTTAATGTTGATAAATACAAAGTAATGTGTATTGGAAAACATAATCCCAACTATACATATAAAATAAATGGGGACTAAATTAGCTCTACAAGAGAGATCTTGGAGTCACTGTGGATAGTTCTGAAAACATCCACTTGACATGCAGCAACAGTCAAAAAAGCAACCAATGTTAGGAATAATTGAAAAGGAACAGAGAATATCTCATTGCCGCTATATAAATCCCTGGTACCACCCACATCTTAAATATTGCGTTCAGATGTGATCGCCTCATCTTAAAGATATCTTGGCACTGGAAAAATTTCAGAAAAAGGGCAACAAAAATGATTAGTGCATGGAACAGCTGCCATATGAGGAGAGATTAATAAGACTGGGAATTTTCATCTTAGAAGAGAGGAGACTGCTAGAGGTCTATAAAAGCATGGCTGATATGAAGAAAGTAAATAAGGAAAAGTTATTTACTTGCTCCCATAATGCAAGAACTAAGGGTCACCAAATGAAATTAATAGGTAGCCGGTTTAAAACAAACTAAGGAAGTATTTCTTACACAATGTACAGTCAACCTGTGGAACTCCTTGATACAGGACATTCTGAAGGCCAGATCTTTAAAAAGGGTCACATAAGAGCTAGATACATTAATGGAGGATAGGTCTACCAATGGCAATTAACCAGGATGGGCAGGGATGATGTTCCTAGTCTGTTTGCCAGCAGCTGGGAATGGATGAAAGAGAAAGGATCACTTGATTACCAGTTCTGTGCATTCTTTCTGGGGCACCTACCATTGGCCACTGTCAGAAGACAGGATACTTGGCTAGATGGACCTTTGGTCTGACCCAATATGGTTGTTCTTATAAAAAACAAAGGTTTTGTTCACGGTTACAAACATTCCAGAGCCATGAACAACCTCTATCCAAGGTATTCATTACTCTCGGCTTCTACTGTAGCTGGAGTCTAACCTTCTCCCTCTCTAATCCCTAAGGGTATGTCTACACTCCCCCGCTAGTTCGAACTAGCAAGCCATTCCGAACTATCTAGCCCGTGCTGCGTGTAGCCGCGCGGCACAGGGTTCGAACAAGCCGGCATTTAAAAATGGCGCCGGCCAGCTTATGCAAATTAAGCCCGGGAAATTCAAATCCCGGGCTTCATTTGCACGTTCAGTATGCATACATTACCCCGCTAGTTCGAACTAGCAGGGTAGTGTAGACATACCCTAAAATAGCCTCTGCCATGGGACAGAAACCACTCTGGATGCATTATGGACCTTTCTGCAGCTGCCATCCACTGGCACAACTCCATCTCTCCCGTTACTGGCCTTGTGCTCTCCTACCAAAGAACAAGGTTCTGTTCCCTTCCATCTTCTGCTCCCCATCGCAATTACGAGAATCTTCAATTCAGCACCTTTTGGATCTAACCTCACTAGTCACTGACGGATGGATCAGTGTGCGTGTGTGGGTCCATGGCAGCCCTCTTTGCAGCTCACTTTCCTTCACACCCTTCCTCCTCTGTCATCAGGCTTGGGCTCTCTTTTCCCCATTGATTGTCTAAGATCTTTTCCTATTAAGTTCATCTTCCTCTGTCAGCAAACATCAGGGCCACATGTCTGTCTGCATGAATGGTTTGCAGCTGCCGCCACCTGCTGGAGAGTGCATGACAGCCTCTGGATACGGAAGGAGAGAACAGATCGAGAAGCAACAACAAATACAGGACCACATCCCGTTGTTCTCCGAAAGTTGGCAACCTTACCCACAACTAATTGCACAAAACCGAACATCCCTATCCTGCCCCTTCCTTTCCTTAAGGCCATTGTATCTATTGTTTTGAACCATAGAACATTCATGCCTTCAGCAAAAACTAAGAGAAAAGCACTGGTGCAATAATCTAACAAAGAGCACCTATGCCTTTTAACAGAGATTTCTGGTATCTGATGTGAAGTACAGGCAGTCCCCGGGTTACGTACAAGATAGGGACTGTAGGTTTGTTCTTAAGTTGAATCTGTATGTAAGTCGGAACTGGCGTCCAGATTCAGCCGCTGCTGAAACTGACCAGCAGTGGCTGAATCGGACACGCCTGGGGCAGAGCAGCTGGGGTGCTGCTGGGTTGGTCCCGCAGCGCCG